GAAAAGAAAACATACATAAAAATTAATGAAATGTGAAATTGACTTACTCGTTGTTTGTCGTAGACAGAATAGTGATGCGAATATTAGTCAATGGTGATGGTACGTCTGCTTGTTGAGTGGGAATATTTTAGAGTAACAAGAGCAATTCATGTTAACCTCTAAAGGTTCTGCAGACTTATAAAAGAAGAGAGAAATTTTTTTAAATTAATAATTGAAAGCACTGCGTCAGTCAACATGTATTTATTTGCAGAGCCATGAAATTGTGTTATACATAGATCGTTTTTACAAAAAGAAAATATTTGGACATTCACAGTCAGTCTCATCTATTCGAATAGTTGTGAATGAGTTTTTCCTCTTTTGCGCTTTTCTACGAGTTTATGTATCGGAATATGAAATAGGATTTTTTTCTTTTTTACATATATACTTTTTGTTTTAGGAAGGAATTATAAATCTTAAAGAGAGATATATTTTGTTTTCCGTGAGTTGAGACGTTTTAGAAAATCGTTCACATCGAAGTTGAAAATAAAATAGTGTTTTCACGTTACTTACAATGGAGGTTTTATCTTATTAGTTCCTAAGATTAGATATATTCGAGTCAAATGACAGCTTTCACCGCCAAATCAACAAATTTAAAATATAGACTATCATTGACATTTAAGAACCGAGATATTCGAATTTTTGGCTAGCTACAGTATAGATAAGATGCTGACAATATAAAGTTTCAGTAGAGTTCTTTTTTTCTTCGTGTTGGTTAGATAGAGCTCCCCAATTGACATATGAAAGAGTGTTTCAAATTAAAAACAATTTTTACAAAAGTTAGAATTAGAGTTATAGACTCTCTCGCATGTGAAAACGATGGTATCTTGGATGTTTTTCGTGAGATGTTGTCTTTTAATTTCAAACATACTTTTTCTTATCCAAATTGAGTTGTTCTATTCGAACATCACGTGGTGTCAACTTAAATTTTAGTTAAGTATGTCTAGTCTTAGCAATTAACAAGATAAACATGTTCATCGATAGTCCTTTCATGCACTCGACTTAGGAAAGATTGAAATATATTCAATTCGACTATGAATATTTTCGTACTTTCCATTCGTTCTATGCTTACTGCAGCGGTATAGTTTTTTGTTACAGCTTCTCAGCCTTAATTCAACACGTTATTCTATTTTACTTTTGTAAAGGTATGATATTCTGTTTTGTGTCGTTACTACGAATTTGTGAAAAAAAAAGAACGACAGATATCTTATATAAGTATTTTGTAAATTTTTTCAAGTATATTTAAATTTATGTAGTAATTTAGATTTTTCGTATAAACTTTTCTAATAAGCATAACAATTGTATTTTCGATGACACATAAAATCTTACTGACATAGAACGGAGAAATAAAAAATTCAAATTACTACACAACTACAAATATACTTGAAAAAAATTTTCAAACTTCTTATTTAAAATAACTTTCGTTCTTTTTTTATAAATGTTTGGTAACGACTAAACACAGAATATCATATGTTTTCGATAGTAAAATATAATTACTTGTTGAATTAAGATTGGGAAGTTGTAACAAAAAAACTATATCTTTTCAGTAAAAAGAAAAATGTAAACAATCGCGAGATAAATAAGTATAATTTGGCGTTTCTTTTATGTTTTAAAGCACGTTTAAACGCTCAACATTTTTTCAGTTTTTTGTTTGCCTAGAAATAGTGGACGTTTTGTGCTATTAAAAATTTTCATGCAGAAAATCTATACAAAGGGAACAAACTCTATATAAAATAAGATGCAATTTTTTCAACACAAAATTTCTACAAAAAGTGACATGTCTGTCTGCACGAGTATCTTAACAGAATATTTTGTATCATGAAAAACACATTCAACAAAATGCATGCATAATTACTCCAGATTGTTCCATAGTAATTTTCATTGTATCTAGGTGACAATTGGTATCATTGCATGCGTCGAAGTTAGAGGCCATCCATAAAGAATGTCCAAGTAAAAATCGGATTTTTTGACCTCCCTGCCCTTCCTCCTCTCCAGATTTCTCCACTTTCATCGAACCCCTCCCACCTCTTAGACGTCCAGTTTAAAAATAATTTGCAAAAAAGAACCTGTGTGTTAAAATATATTGCTTCTTTTCTATTAAATAATAGTTCATCAGATTAATACATAAAAAATAGACATAAGTTCATACTTATTAAGAAAAAAAGACAAAACACACATTTCATAAATAACAAAGAAAGAAAACAATTTCAAAATTTTAGTTCTTTAATTATATAATATTTTAATAAGCAGAAAATAGTAAAAATATAAAAAATAAAAATAAAAATAAAGTTCAATGTCGATGGCATTCTCAAAAAGAAATAACAACGTTCACATTACTCTGCTCGACAAAATAACTGGCTTTCCATGTAGCATAATCTTCAATAACGTTAACACCATATTCATATTCAATTGATTCATTCAGCTCATTTTCTGTTTTTTTTTTTTCATCATGTGATTCAAATTCTTGTGATGCAGTTAATAATTCTTCATGTAATTTCACCTGTAATAATGATGATTGTGTTATACGATGTTTACGATAAATTTTATTATGACTTGTCTTAGCCGTTTTCGATGGTAAGTATAAACTGCACATTTGACATGTTCGTTTTGTTAATTTTTCTTCAACTGTTCGACAATAATAATCAAAAGAAAGTTGTTACGAAAATTTTGTTTATGGTTGTATGCTATTTAATGCTAAACGTTGTAATAGACCGCCGTATGAGCCTACACTTTTACCTTGTTCACCATAATTAATTCCAATATTTGTACATTCATATGGAATCGATGGAGGCAAAAAATTCATCTGATAAAATTAATTTTAAATTGGTTCTTAATGGATCACAACAATTTATATCATCAGATTTCACAATTTTTTAAGAATATTGTGATTGTCGTATCTGTTTCGATTTCTATTGTTCATCTAGATCACTTGGTTTATGTAAATTAGATGATTGTGGAACATATTCGGCAACAACGACATTTGTATCAATAAGTGTGTTGCTCCAAACTTCATTCAGCTAATACTTCTAAGCGAGAAACAAAACGACATTGTACCTAGACTTAATACAAACATTAATTGTGACTCTAGCTTACCACTAGCAGATTGAAAATTTTGTTTTTCTAAATCTTTATTAATGGTTTTTTTCATTATCATCTAAATGCTTTTCATAATGATGATATGGCAATATTAAACCTGATAAATCATGGCTCAATGGAGCCATTCGACGTTCAATTGGATTAAAAGCTGAATAGTCTGAAGCATTGGTAGCAACAAATAATGCATCTAAATTATTTCGTATAAAAAAATTCGATTAACATTGTCTTGCTTTAGGAAATCTAGGATTTTCATCAAGATCACTATCAATAAATAAAATAAAAATTGGTTTTAATTCATTATTATCCATATGTGAATGATGTTTAAATTTAGTTAATGATAAAAATTTAGATAACTCAGCTAGGTGAGTAAATGCTGTTGAATGATCATGTTTACTAAATCTAATACCAATATAAGTTGGATCACTATATGATAATTATTTGTTTTTAAATATTAACGCACCATATACTGAGATGGAATAAGTTTATTTTTTTTGAGCAATAACAAAATCATGATCTGATAATTCGATACGATATTCCAAAACTGCATCAATAATGGTGCTTGTTGTTTAGCAGCAGGTATACCAAATGGTACGCGTGCGTTATCATCTTGAATCATAACAAAAACAGATTTTAATCCGAATAATGTTGCTAAATCTTTTAAATACTCAACTGTAGCTGCAGCAAAATAAGAATCTGCATGTGAACAACGACCAGTATTATGTGCACGTACAAGTTTAACTGGTATTGTAGATACATGTCGTTTACCTCAAAAAAAAAAAGTAGGCAAAAAAGAAAAAAACAAATGAATATTAGTATCAAATTAAAGGAGCTTGAACAATAGCTTTACCTTCACTAGTATTTAATTGACGAGGCATTAATCTTAAATATGTAGCTGATCGACTTATAATAAAACCACGTTGTTCTAATTCTTCAGATAAATCATCTAAAGTTTTTATGCTTCTTAATGATTCAGTTTGTCGTCAATGATCAGTTGCGGCTGCTAATGATGTTATATCGATAATTGTTTGTAATAATGCTGGTTGATCAACTTCTAATTTTGGACGAAATGAATCAGCTCGTTTTAAAAACGTTTCAATGTATCAGCAACATCAGGATGTTTATCAACTATTTGGTGAATAGCTGCTTTAAAATTTGAACATTTTTTTCTTTTTCGTTGTTGATCATGTTTTAATATATGTAATTTATTTTCGAATTCTTTTTTCTTTTTCTCTAATTCATTAATTAAATTTTTGTTATCATTAGTTAATAATCCACTAGATTTTAATGCATAGAATCTTGCTAATTTTTCACATAGATCATTTATTTCTTCTGTAGTTTTAACTTGATCTGGTGCTTATAAACTTGTTGTTCTTGACCGTTCTTTTTCATCATTACCTGTTACGGATAAAATTGATGATGTATCATTAGATATTTCTGATGGTAATGGTGATGGTGATGGTGCACTTGTTGAAGATGATGATGTTAATAATATAGATGTATTACTCATACCGGATGGTGTTGCTTTTAACATTGTAGCCTAATATTTGAGTAAAGTACTTTTTTCTCGCATAGTATTCGATGAATATTCTTGTAATTTATTTTTAAGTTTATTTTCATCATTTTTTGTAATAAATTCCATTCTAATTGAGAATTATCATATAAGGTCTCGTTATTCTTCACTGTTGATGAATGAAAACTTGTGTACTGTTTGATAAAGTCTTTATAAAGCTGACTACGTACTACGTGCAGAGTTACTCATCTTATTAATCGAAAACAATATGATACTAAAGGCTTTCTTTTTTAGTATGGTTCTATCATAGAACAAAATTTACATAAAAGGAAATGAATAAAGAGCTGTTCATAAAAATTATAAATTGAAGTCGATGACAGAGAACACTAACACAATTGGTGAAAAACACCACAATAGATTGAAGAACAACGAATCAATAGATATTCAATTATTGAATATAAATTTTTAGGAGCCACTATTAGTGTCATAAATGGAGGCGGTGCCACTATGTCGACTGTTCCATTTTATCACCATTTAAACAACGGAAATATCTTTCATATATTGCATTCATAATTTATAGACAAAAGAATTTTGATAACACTCTTTTAGGAATATATAGTTTGAAATAAACGGCGCTTCTAAGTTTTATGAAACGCTTTGTGAAAAAAAGGAGAGTATTTATAGTGAGTGTCTGGACGTCCAGAAATCTTTAATTCTCCTTCCTTCCCCCTCTCTACAGTTTAGTCGAGTTTTCATGATCCTCCCCCTCCCCTCTTTACCTTGGGCATCCTTTATGGATGACCCCTTACAACGACAACCATTGGTACTACATCTGAAACGAGAACTACATTGCAGCCAACGATCCCATCAACCACTGGTGCAGCGACTTTAACAACGTCAGTAGCACCTATTAGTGGTACTACTAT